ACAGCTTAGCCAGGCACAGTGGTGTGCGCCTATAGTCCCAGCTACTCGGGAGGCTGAGGTGGGAGAATGGCTTAAGCCCATGAGGAGTTGGAGGCTGTGGTGAGCTATGACTGCACCACTGCATTCCAGCCTGGACAACACAGTGAGACTCAGTTTCTAAAAAATAAAGAAATATATACATAAATGATTCTTAAAAGGCTGAGAAATTATTATAGATGAAAGGAGACTAAGGAGACATGACAACCAAATGCAAACAGGTGATCCTGCGTTGGAATTTGCACTGGAGAAAAAAAAAATCACTATTAAGGACATTACTGGATCAACTGACACAACTAGAATATGGGTGTCAGATTATTTTACCTTTTTTTTTTTTTTTAAGAGACTAGGTCTTACTTTGTGGCTAAGGGTGAAGTACAGTGACACAATCATAGCTAACTGCATGCAGCCTCCAACTCCTGGGCCCAAGGAGTCCTCCCACCTCAGCCTGTGGCTAACTGGGCCATCATGTCCAGCTAATTTTTTTTTTTTTTTTTTGAGACAGAGTTGCGCTCTTGTTGCCCAGTCTGGAGTGCAATGGCATGATCTTGGCTCACTGCAACCTCCACCTCCCAGGTTCAAGCGATTCTCCTGCCTCAGCCTCCTGAGTAGTTAAGATTACAGGCATGTACCACCACGCCAGGCTAATTTTCTATTTTTAGTAGAGACAGGGTTTCTCCATGTTGGTCAGGCTGATCTCGAGCTCCTGACCTCAAGTGATCCGTCTGTCTTGGCTTCCCAAAGTGCTGGGATTACAAATGTGAGCTACCATGCCCGCATGTCCAGCTAATTTTTAAAACTTTTGTAGAGTTGGGGTTTTGCTACATTGCTCAGGATGGTCCTGAACTCCTGGCTTCAAGTGATTTTCCTGCCATGGCCTCCTAAAGTGTTGGGATTACAGGCATGAGCCACCATGCCTAGCATAAACTATTTGTTTAAATTGACAAATAATAGTTAGATATAATTTTGGGGAAAGATTAAACTAGCGTATATTAAGTTAAACCAACAAACTGAAAATGGGTAGGAAAAACTACGTAAACATACGCACACAGAATAAAGCTAATGTGACAATACATTAAAAACTGTTGAATCTACTAATGGAAAAAGTATATGAGATTTCTTTGTACAATTCTTGTAACTTTCCTCTAAGGCTCACTTTTTCAAAATAAGAAGGTAAAAATTAAATGAATGGATTCTGGCAATTTTCTTCCCTTCTCTACTATTTAGTATATGTGATATAAAGTGGATGATTAATTTGGAATCCCAATAAGATCAGAATCAGCTAACATACGTTCATTAGTTAGACACTGTCTATTATTTACCATTAGAAAAATGTATCTATATTTTAATACTTTTTCCATACTGCTTTTAATTCAGGAGAGTCACTACTAGAACCAAAAATATTTTTTCTTGTTACAAATAAGATTCTTAGAAAACTAATGGAAGGGCCAGGTACAATGGCTCACGCCTGTAATCCCAGCACTTTAGAAGACCGAGGTGGGTGAATCACAAGATCAGGAGTTTGAGACCAGCCTGGGTAACATGGTGAAACCCCGTCTCTACCAAAAGTACAAAAATTAGCTGGGCATGGTGGCATGTGCGTGTAATCCTAGCTGCTCAGGAGGGTGAGGTAGGAGAACTGCTAGTGCCAGGACCTGGGGGCAGAGGTTGCAGAGAGCTGAGATAGCACCACTGCACTCCAGCCTGGATGACAGGCGAGACTTTGTCTCAAAAAAATAAAAATAAAAAAGCTACTGGAAGTAAATTCTAGAGAAGTGAAAATATCAACTACTTTTACTATGGCTGAGAGCATGTTATATAGCACTCTGAAAACAGTTTAGTGTCAGATTATAATTTCTTCATATTAGGAAAAAAGTAATCCCACTTCACTCATATTTAAAAATGGCTCTTCTGACCACCTACTATGGTTTTCCCAGGTGCCAAAGTGGCCTCAATGAAATTTAAGATTCCTTATGGAATAAATCATATCCATATGGATGTTAACTCACTAGGCATGGAACAGCACTTGCTAGAACACATACAGACTCTGCAATTAGATACTCTGAGGTTGAATCTGGCTCTATCATATATTAGCGATGATACTTGCTTGAATAGCTAACCTTTCTGGACCTCAGTTTAATCTTGGGAAAATGAGGATAACAATACCTATCACCCTCACAGGATTTATGAGGATCAGGTGCAATCAAACACAGGAATGAGGTATGTGTCCTGTGTTTGTGTTTAACATTCAAAAACTGCTGGAGGGAGTATTAAATGGCATAATGTTTTTAGAGAGCTGCTTAGCAATAACTATAAAAAAAACTACATCTTTTTACCTAGCAATTCCACTTCTAGAATTTTCTGTATGAAAATTATTCATGTTCATGAAGATATATGTATAAGGCAGTTTATTATAATAGTACTTAAATTGTAAAAAAATGTAAATGATTTGAATGTCATTTAATTGTGAAATGGATAAATTATGGTATGTCCATATAATGGAATAAACAGATAATTAAAAAAAAATTTTTTTTTTTGTAGAGGAGGGGTCTCACTACATTGCCCGGGCTGGTCTCAAACTCCTGATCTCAAGCTATGGCCTCCCAAAGTGCCAGGATTACAGGCATGAGCCACTGTGCCTGGCCGACAGATATCTGTTAATAACAGCAAGATTGATCTTTAATGTACTGACACAAAAAGATGTCCATGATAAATACTGTAAATTTAGAGGAAAAAACTGCTAACAGTATATATTATATACAGTGATTTCTTTTTAGCTAGGGACAGATTATTCTTTCATACAAGTACACAGAGATGAAAACCTATTAATATATACTAACATATATACATATGTAGGCTAGGACTTTATTATAAAAGCTAGAGAAAATATGAAGCAAACCAGTAACACTGGTTATTGAATGATGAGATTTTAGGGGAAAATCTCACTTTTTTTTCCTTTCTTTTTTGAGATAGGGTATGCTGTGTCACCCAGGCTAGGGTGCAGTGGTACAAATAGAGCTCACTGCAGCCTCAAACTCTTAGGATCAAATGATCCTCCCAGTTGAGCCCCCCAAGTAGCTAGGGCTACAGGTGTGCACTTCTAACCTGGCTAATTTGTTTTTTTATTTTTAATTTTTTGTAGAGACTAAGCCTCACCGTTTAATAGGCTGGTCTGAAAATTCTGGCCACAAGTAATCTTGCTGTGGCCTCCCAAAGTGCTGGGATTACTGGCGTGAGCAACTGTGCCTGGCCAACTCCATTTTCCGTTACCATTTTTGTCATGTTTGAAAGGATTTTAAAATAAGATGAATCTATTACTTTGAAACAGAAAAAGCAGTAAGAATAATACTTATTTTAATGTCAAAAATAAAGTAAAAAGGGACAAAGATTAGAATGGAAAGTAGCTGAACACACAGTATCATATCTAGTATGAAAGAAACCAAAGTTACCTATGACAGTCTTCAGGTTGTGCACATAAATGACTGCATTATTGGAGCCAGAGGCCATCAGATAGCTCAGCTCTGGCTGACTGCCATGCTCATGATGCCAGCTAATGGTATTCACAAGCTTGTGATGCTGTTGGATAGTACAGATCAGTTTCAAGTTGGGAACCTGAAATATTTCTATTGTTCTGGAATAAGAAACACATCAAAACAAGAAAGATAGATGATCAAATTACAAGTTACAATGCAAACAGCAGCTCCCTCACTCCATCAGCCAAGGAAAGATAAGGTAGAACAGGATAACCCTCTCTATCACTGCAAAGGTCATTCTCTCATTAAAAAAGTCAAGTATAAAAAGTTATTCTCCAAAAAGCATATTTAGCTTTTAAAAATTCTAATAATAACCTAAGAATTCTTTTTTTTTTTTTAAAAATGAAACTTTTTAAAATTTCAACTTTCCACACTACCTCAGTGTAACAATCTCCTAACATTCTAACAATGCTTGATGAAATTGTGTTCATCAGGCATTAATGACAAATGATCACAGGGAGAAGCTAAAAGAATTAACAAATCGGCCGGGCGCGGTGGCTCAAGCCTGTAATCCCAGCACTTTGGGAGGCCGAGGCGGGTGGATCACGAGGTCAAGAGATCGAGACCATCCTGGTCAACA